AAAAAAAAAAAAAAAAAAAAAAATGGGGGGAAAAAATTAAATGGGTTTTCTTCATGATGCTACTTCTCAGCCTTTTATATGCTTTGTGAATCTTTAAGAAGGGAATTTGGACTGAAACTTTGAGTATGGAACACATATGGGATCTCAGAACTCTGGGCCCTGAGCATGGTAGGAAGTACTGATCCAGCCCAAGGCCTCTCCATCTCTTTGCTTCCTCTTGATACAGGGCCTCATATGCTAAGGGGGTTTGGACTAGATCTAATGGGAAACTTTGAAGTTTGTTGAGTAACAGATTTGCATTTTAGGAAGAATACTTGAGGTGGGGAGGATGGACAGAGTGAAGAATAGAATCAGGGAATCCAATTAAGACGTTGCTGAATGGTAGCGATTCAGGCAAGACATGATGATGGTTCAGGCCCTGGAACAGTTCCTGGAACGCTAAATGTCAACAGAATGAGAAATATGAGTGTCCTGGAAGCCAAGGGATTCCAGAGCATTTCAAGGAGAAGCATTTCATATGAAAGTATTACATGCTGAACAAAAATCAAGAAGCATGTGAATTAGAAAATGTCCATGTCTTTAAAGGAAGGAGAATTTTAAAGTGTTCTCTGAATTTACCCATACAGGATAATCTTGGGATGACAAGTGGGCTGAGTTTGGTTGGGGTGATAAGCAGAAATCAGATAAAGTGGGTGCATGTCAGGAAGAGGAGGCGACAGTGAAGGAGCACTGTGGTAAGGCGGTTTTGTTATTCCTAAATCAATGGAGCTCTGAGCTCACCGAGGTGAAAGCCTTGGAAGGTATGTGTCCTAATAACGGCTGTTCCTCTCGAGTAAAGAAACTGCTCACAGCATGGTCACTGAAAAACTGAAGATAGGCAAGCAGCTATTTGTCCTGAACACATGCTTGGCCAAATTCCGGGCTTGACCCGCGGGTTCATGGAAGGATGGAAGGGTGGTGCGAACTGGCGTGAAAGCGGGAGGACTTCACGTCCCGTGATGCGCCGGAGGAATCCGGCCTCGAGGACCGCGGGCTCTGCGGAGTTCCCCACGCCGGCCCAGAAGGCAAACGTTGTCGGCCCCGCCCAACGTGGCCTCAACCTGCCCCCAGACGGGTGTGGTTCCCGGGAAGGCTCCGCCCCCAGAACGCTTCTCCAATGGGGGCCGCCGTCGTGTCCATGGCAACGGCGGCGGCGGCGGCGGCGGCTGAATTGCTAAAGGGGGCGCCGTCGCCGCCGGGAGCTCGGAGCTAGGAGTAAACCGCGGCGGGGAGCGGGCTCCCTCTCGCGATCGGCGGGGACAGCCAGTCCTGTGGAAAGAGGACGCGGTCCCGGACGCCTAGCAGCGCCCGGGAAGAGCAGGAACGGGGTGAAGGGCGGACATGAGCGACCAGCCGAGTCCAAACTCAGGCCGCTAGGGGCGGACCCAGCAGCCTCGTAGCTCTCCTCGGAACCTCGGGTGGGCAGTGTCCACCGTGGGCTGTCCCTCCTCCGTCAGAGTCCAAGGGGTCTTAGCCATCCGGTGCCTGGCCCCAGTGTGTACACACGGGGAAACTGAGTACTGGGACAGGGAAGGGCCGGACTAGGGGACATTTGATCTTCAGCTGTATTTTAAAGCGAAGGTCCCCGCAGCGCTCCTAGCCAGCCCCCTTCCCATTCAGGAAGAAAAAAGCCGTGGTCATGGCCCCTGCCAGCTCTGTAACAACTTCTCCATGCACCCCAGTGTGTTGTACAATCCAATGTGATCCTGGATGATATGGGCTTGTCGTCAGGGAATCCACATTTCACCAGCATCCCACGCCCCCACTACCTACTTGGAAACATCCCATTCTGCAGTGGGATTGTTCTGTTCTGAAGGGGTAGCAGCATTCCCTTGTAAGACCATGAAAGTCCTTTGGGTGGATTCTTGCAGGCCTTTCGGGCCCTGGAGGGAGGTCTGATATATATTTATTTATTTATTTTATTATTATTATTTTTTTAAAAGATGACTGGTAAGGGGATGTCAACCCTTGGCTTGGTGTTGTCAGCACCACGCTCAGCCAGTGAGCTAACCGGCCATCCCTATATGGGATCCGAACCTGTGGCCTTGGTGTTATCAGCACCACACTCTCCCGAGTGAGCCACGGGCCGGCCCCCTGATATATATTTAATTCCAACCTCCCTACCCTCAGAATCTAAGAGATGGAGCCGAGTACCTGTAAGACCAGTGAATCAAAGGAAGACTATGTTGAGGAAGAGGAATCTGACGAGTGTGTTAAAGAGGAAGTTACCATCCCTTCTAACCATTCTCAACAGACACTCTCTAAGGCTGCCTACAAGGAATTTGAGAATGGAGTTCCATTATCCATTGTAGCCAAGAAAATTCCAAAGAAAATCATAGCCCCAACTGACACAGATGACTTAGAAGTTGGGAGGAGAAAGAGAAGGCGGAAACGCAGGTAACCATTTCCTGGACCCCCTCACCTGCCCGGCTTCAGTGGCTACCCCCTGGCCTCCCTTTAGTATTTGGGCTGCTGGGATCTAAGGTCTTCCCTTTATCCTGAAAAAGAAGAGAGGAAATGCTGGAACATCATTAACCTTTTGTCACAACAAAAAAATTTACAGCCTTTTGGGCTGGCTCAGTTTCAAATTTCATCATCTTTGTATCATCCTAGTCTTTCCTTTAAGTGGCTTCTAGAGAAATGAATTGTGAATGTGTTGGGTGACTCTTCATCTGGGTGCATGGCAGTCCATGATCTGTCCTTCCCTCCTACTGTGCCTGATTTCTGCTATTCCTCCATTCCAGACCCCTGGCCATCAACCTGACCAACTGCAAGTATGAAAGTGGTAAGCACGTGGCTCATCACTTACACAGTTGTGCACAAGGGGGCACCTACAGCTGTCGCTGTTACTCTGGGGATGCTTCTCCTTCCAGGCTCCCTGACCCTGCATCTTGTCAGTCTGGCTTATAACCTAACTGAGCTTCTTGGGTGTTCCCTGGCTCAGCTACTGGCAGCTGACACATTGCTGTTTCAGTTAGTCTCAGTGGTAGGGAAGGTATCTCCACAGTTAGCTAACGAGGAAAAAAATGGAGAGTCCACCATTACCCTCCCCTTCCCAGATTTTACCAGAGAAGAGACAAGGTTAAAACAGTTTTTTTGGGCCGGCCCGTGGCTCACTCGGTAGAGTGCGGTGCTAATAACACCAAGGCCAC